TGGACAGACTGACAAACATCTTATAAAATCAGAGCACACTTGAGTATATCCTTAATCAAACCTAATTATAATACCTTCTTACAAATTTAGAATTTACAGCTACAAACCAACCATTTGGATTTGTTATACACCAACTAGCAGAGATCTGGCATAAAAAGATCCAAGGCTTGATTCAGGGAGAGGTGAAATTGTGGAATTATGTTGTGAAGCCTGTCATGCCAACTCATTCCATGTAGGGCAAACACAATAAGCAGAAATCCACACAAGGCCTTGGCAATAACATAGAAGTATCCCATTTTACCCAGTTAAGTGTGGGCACCAGACCCAGCCCACTTGAGTCTGGAACTGTTTTGCACGATACAAAATGCTTTGTCAGAGATATAGCCAGGTAAAATCATATTTGAATTAGGGAAGAAGAAAGCCTTGTTAGGAAAGAGAAGTCACTTACAGTAAATAGCACCATGGACAGAATAATAAAATTTTGTGCAGGAAGAGCATTTTTCTCCTTTAATTGTTTTAAGAGAAGAGATTTCAGTGAATAATGAGCTTGTTCAATGATAGTGTGGCCACTGAGATTATAGGGGATACAAGTTACATAACAAATTTGCCATATGGAACAAAAGGAAGCAAAAGCCTGTGAGATATAGGCTGGACCATTGTCAGTTTAAAAAAGGAAGATACACCATTGACTGCTAATGCAGCCAGGAGATGTTGAATTACATGCCAGGCAGATTCACCAAGCAGTGCTGAAGCACAAATAAAAACAGAAAATGTATCAACAAAAACTTGAATAAATGAAAAAGTTTTAAGGAGGAACACGGTGTAGCATGTTACCATGATTCATTGGAGCAGAGGCCATGAGAGTTGACAGCATCACCTGGAAAAGGGGGAGCCATGGCAGCACAATGGAAACCATTGGAAATTAAAGCTCTAGCTTTATGTGAAACATAAAGGAATGTGAAACAATTTTCGCAAAGAACAAGCTGATCAGTGAAAAAGGTGGGGCTTTCTTTAGCGTTAGCAAATGAGGATAGACTACAAATTAATCTCAAGATCAGGCTGAACTGCTTCTAGAGAAACTCTGTTGAAAAGACCTTGCCCAAAAAAAGAGAGAACAGAATATTCAGTGCTTGATCAGTAATAGCATTATCATATCAAACAACAGGTAGGGCTTAATGACTATATATATGTAAAAAAAAAGAGTTGCATGGTGAAGGCAAAGAAGAGCCTGTGAGATGTAAAAAAGAGATAATAAATGTGAGTCTACTGCTACAGGAGAGACAACAAGAGAAGATAAGTGTGAGATAGTATTATGTACATATAATGAGGCAGTAACTAACTTAAGGACATGGGTTGAAAAAATTTGCAAAGCAAGGATAACACAGAGAGCTCACTGCATTGATAAGAGTTTTGTGGTAGTAAATATAGGTGTTTCCAATTATTATAAAAACATGTTACAGCTTCATTGATGGGGGATTCCATCAGTGAAGACAGTGAGGGCACTATTTAAAGGGGTGCTAATGAAATAAGTTTGAAGAGAAAAGGGAAGTAGGGTAAATAGAGACAAACAATGATCATGGGGCATATCAAAAGAAATGGAACCAACATAGACAGCCAAAGCCACTTGCAGATTTTTTTTTCGGTCCCAGGGATCAAACTCATGACTGTGCACTTGTAAGACAGGCACTCATGCCACTGAGCTAAATTCCCAGACCTGCGTCTTGCAGAGGGAACAGCAGAGGACAGCAAAAAGGAAAAGTCAGCCTTGGTAAGTGGTAAGACAGTATTGATTAAATCAATTCCTAGGACTATAGGTGTTCCAGTACATCCCCAAGTGATGAGAAGGAATAGCATTGAAAATGGGAAATAAAGTATTGCCAGGTGAGTGGAGTAAAACAAAACCATCCGCTCCAGTGTGTAGCAATCCTGAAAAGAAAAGGTTGTCAATAGTTAAACAGAGGCCTCAGCATTCATCTCCCATGGGAATAGCAGTAGCCACCACAGTAGAGCCAAATGCTTGATTTCCATGAGTAACATCACAAGTTTTAGAGGAGACAAGGCAAGACAATTAGTTGGGCTACAGATTCAAAAAAATTAGTTGAGTGGGTAAGAGAGATCATAGTTAAAGCAACAATATGCCCGTATAACCAGCATCAATGAGGCCAAAGATAACAAAAGTGCCTCTTTTTTGATGCAGGTGAACAGGAAAGAACTGGAGAGCTGTCCTGGGAGGTAAAGGATCATGAAAAGAAGTAAGAACCTTCTAAAACATACTGGAGAATTCCAAGCTAGTGTCAGGTTATCATAGAAACATCTTTTAAAGCATTTTTGTAGCCTTGGTTTGCATTTTTGTATGTTAACTGCTTTAACAAGACAGAGGCTACTGTCATGTTATCCACCTGGCATTCAATAGCTTCATTTTATCTTCTATAAAGGCAAGGCAAGGTTCAGTCTCCTCCTGTTTAATAGTACTAAAAATCCTTGTGTGTCCACTGCTTCAGGGATTCTTTTTCAAGCTTTAAAAGCAATTTGAGAATAATAGCCTGAGGGTGGCAATTAAATTGTTGGCAAATATCTGAAAAATCTCTCTCCCCTCATAATTCAGCAGCTCCTATAGGAATATAGCAATCAAAATTATTTGTAGCTTGCATGTCCTCAGCACCAGTATGTTCTTAAGCCAAACCTGATGTTGGGCTGGAGTGATAATAGTATGCACTGAGAGTTTCCAGTCCAAAGGGTCACTTCACAACCATGAACAATACCCTCAATAATGCCAATTACAAAAGTACTTTTAAATCTATATTCCTTGACAGCCATTTTAAATTTTTTATCTTTCTTGTTTTTGTTGTTTGGAACATGGGACTGAACTCACAACTTTGTGGGTGTCAGGCAGCCACTTAGGCCACTGAGATTATCCCCTGCCCCTTTTAACTCTTTAAATAGAGTACTGCAAACTTTCAAAGTGGGAATCTTTTCCTGTTGATACAAAAGAGGTCAAGCAATTAATTTGCCATGTTGTTTACCTTCTTGGGCCATCTTTTACATGGGAGGTCGAACAGGTGAAGAGTTGCCCAGAGGTTTTACAGGGTTTGCATATTTTGGAGGCAGCAGCAAGAGGAAGTGAGGAAGCAGCACAAGTGAGGCATCCAGGAAGACTGGGAAGCAACCATGCGTTGTTACATGTGCCTGCCTGCTGAATGTCACAGCATCCCAACAAAGATACCAAATGTGCAAGACAGAGATCAGAGCTCAAGGATCCTCAATGTAGCAGTTTATGTATATTTTTCTCAATCTGACACAATGACCAAACTGACCTCAGAATAACAAGGAGAATGATCATGAATTTCCCACAAGAGGTGCACCAAACTATCCTCAGAAGTAACATGGCCCACCTTCTTAAGGAAATGCAGTCCTGCATTATGTTTCTGTTGCACTTCAGACACAAAATTCTCCTTGATTTAATGGGTGTAGGGACTTTTTTCAAAGAAAATGAAAGGATTTTCCAAAGAAAGTGAAATAAATGTGCTCTGAAGGCTGTATTCCACCCCAGGAACTCAGCAAAACTAAGTTACACTCTACATCAGACATCTCCACTCTAGAGTCCCTGTTCAGGCACCAAAATTTTGGGTTCCATTCCTGGATCCCTAGCCCTTCAAACAGGTGCATGGCAAAAGATCAAAACAATGTAACAAGTGACACAATCTTTAAGGCTGCAGGAGAATTAAAATTCTTGGCAGAGCTCGTAAGTCTGCTAGCCACCTGGCTGAATGATGCTGGGTAGCAAGTATTTAATCAGAACCAGAAAGGAGTTTAGTGGACAATGGAGGAAATCTGAGCAGGATCTTGGGAGGGGTTCAAGGATCCCTCAGAACAACAAATGATGCTAATTTAGGAAAACTATTTTGTCCTAACTTTCCCCCTGTGATGTCTCCTCATTCTCAGTTCAATCATGCCCAGGCCATGCCACAGGCTTGCACGTGTATTCAGCTTCAATGGTGCCAACGTTTTTCCATATAATTACATCAGTCACAAGTGCACATCACTGTGGTCTCATTCAAACTCTGCCACTATCTCTCACTCCCAGACATGGCCTTTCAATTTTACTGAATACTGATAGACATTTGCCCTATCTCATCCCATTTATGCTTAGTCACCATGCTCAACAGAAGACAATTTGTCAGTCTGAGCCATGAGATGCTGAGGACAGAGTAACACTTTTTTTTTCATCAATACTGTTTCTCAGCAGGCATAATATTTTTAGACCAAGTGAGTATGAAACTCATAGTGGTGATAATAAGCAAATATTAAAGTGCAAGATGCTTTAAGAAAATGAGAAAAGGCAGTGTGAAACTCATTAGGTCAATTGAAGAGTAAAATTGCAATTTTACCTAGAGTTGTTTGAATAACACAAATAGGTTAATGAGACAATGTTAATATAGTATTGTTGGCAGAAACAGTAGTTTGAAGCAAAGACATGAGGGTCTGCTGACCATAGAAACATGGCATTGTTACACACTGTGTAAATGTAAACCAAAAATGAGAAGGGAGGCTCTGAGAAACTTATCCCTCTTGTGCTTGTAGAAGTCTAGTAACATGTTGCAGAATGACTTAGGTTCAAGGCCAATTCTAGATAGAATAGGGGGAGTCTATAGTTGAATTTCCATGAGTTCAGATAGGTCTATAGAGTTGTAATAATGGATTATTGGGAACTCAGATTGTGCATCCTACATTTTTTTTCACATCAGCAAAATCAGTAAAAGATTTGGGAGACTTGCAAATTATATTTTTTCAGAACAGAACAATTTTAAGCAACACAGTATTTCACCACAGGACAACCCAATATATCAGTAGCTACCATAATTTCTCTTTCCTTGAAATAGTTGAGTATACTTTCATATACAATAGTGATCTGGCCTGTAGATCAACAAGTTTGGAACTCCTGGAGGAGAAACGGGGATTAAACAAAAGACATGGGGGAGACAAAAAGAGACGAAGGCAAGTTGATGTTAACCCAATCAAGCCTCCGGTTTATTGAGAAAATAATCACACCTTTTATAGGCTAAGGGCGGGAGCTGGGACAGGAAGAGGTTAAACAGATGAATACAACAGGGTTACCATCACATCTGGACAAGTGACGTAAGCAGAAGAGGATTATGGTTAATGTAGGCAGACGCAGTGCCCATAGGAGAGAGAGAGAGAGACATCTAGGCAGCAATGCCTGTCACTCAGCTCCCTACATCTCCTCCCTTTTTATATTATTTAATTAAGAGTATGGCAGGCCCTGTGAGGACAGCGTATGTCTTAGGTCAAGGACCTCATTGTATGAACCCAACCAGGCCTTACCCGTCATGGGCTTGTAGAACAGCAGTTGGTCCTGTGTCTGTCTTAGGTGGCCGTTGGAATTAACATGTATGTCCTAGTTGCCCGTCTCTGACTGCCTGTCCATTGCCCCAGGGCAGTCAGGCCGCATCATCATATGGGCCACTCGTGGGAATTTCTTCCCTGTAGGTTTGTTGATCTGTCATCTCCAGCTGATGGTAGTGTACCTGAATGGGCTTTGCCATAAATGCGTCTATCTGGTTATTAATGAACATCATAATCCTCTGAAAAAAAGACTCACAGAAATGAGAAACAATAGGTCAGCTAGGGGACCCAAAAGTGGGACTAGGTAAGGGAAAAACTCCCCCCCCCCCAAAATCAAGGAGAAGGGGTTGACAGTCATTTGTTGGTGTCTCTGTATGAAGTCATTTTTCTGTGTCTTGGAGCATGCCTTGTATAACACTGGATGTAGTCTATTTGGCTGGCGTATGCTCCTCTAGACCGAGAAGAGCCTCTTCCACAGTCATGGGGTTTTGTGCATGGCTGTCAGCAGTTGTAGTCTGTTTGGCAGGGGTCAAAATCCACCATGGGTGTGGTGTGGCTCAAGAAGGCTGGTTAAGCAGCATAAGGCTCTAAGGAGATGTGTCACCTGTAAGAGAACACAGGGGATTGTGCCTCAGGAAATAACATTATTCTTGGGCGTTACATGGGGTCTTTGAAGAACTGTCTATTTGTTTTACGAGGTGTTTAGGTAGCCATCTAGCTTTTTTATCTTGTTGAGAGTAAACACACACTGAACCTCGTCCCCAGATAAGGACTGGATCAGGGCCATTCCACACATTGGTTAGTGGGTCTCTCCATAAAACAGATGCAAACCGTGTTTGAGTCTGAGTATGTCAAAACCGAGATGCTGCGGAGCAGCCTGAAGCATCCAGGGTCAGAAAATTTAAAATAAAAAGAGCATGTGAAAGGACATTTTTAGGGGACCCCTGGGTGAGGTACCATGTCTCCCTTTTTATTTTATCTATGGTGAATTTAAGAGAACGATGCGCACGTTTAACAATGCCTTGTCCCTGAGGATTGTAAGGTATACCTGTAGTGTGGAGGATATTAAGGCTTTTACAAAATTGAGCAAAGGAGGTGCTGGTATAGCCAGGGCCATTATCGGTCTTAAGCTGTTGAGGACATCCCAGAACTGAGAAAGCTGACAGCATATGGGCTATAATGTGTTTAGCAGCTTTTCCAGTCTGGAGAGTGGCAAAAATGAAGCCACTATAAGTGTCAATGATGACATGTACATATTTTAGATTGCCAAACTCATTGAAATGGGTAACATCCATTTGCCATAAGGCATTAGGAATTAAACCTCTAGGGTTGACTCCTAGGTGTTGAACAGGTGAGTGGATAGCACAAGATGGGCAATTTTTTACAATTTGTCTGGCTTGCTCACGGGTAATTTTGTAGAGAAGGCGGAGGGTGTGAGCATTGAGGTGATGTAGCTGGTGGGCTTGTTGGGCCTCAGACACCTTGGAGTCCTGAGCCATAAAAACCTGTGCTCGTACAGCAACATCAGCCAAATGATTTTCTTGGGCAAGAGGCCCTGGGAGGTTGGAATGAGCTCGCAGATGACCGATAAAGAACTTATGACGGCGAAGCCGTATGAAGCATTGTAATTGTTTGAACAGATTTGTAGCTGGGGAAGCATGACATATAGCAGCAACAGTCTCTAACAATGGAACAGACTGAGCAAGGTAAGCACTGTCAGTATACAAATTAAATGGTTGGTCAGAGTAAGCAGCAAAAGCTGCAAGAATAGCTTCTAACTCTGCTAATTGTGCAGAGGAAGTATCTGCCTGGAGGGTAGAAACATTGTCTTGAGATACATAAGCAGCTCTTCCAGAGGATGAGCCATCAGTGAATAAAACTAGGGCACCCGGAAGGGGTTGTGAAGCTGTGACTTTAGGGAATATAAATGAGTGACGATTAGCAAAGTCAACTAGCTTATTTGGAGGGTAATGATTGTCAATAGTCCCTGAATAGGAAGCTAAGGCAATAGGCCACACTTTAGTACTCTGAAGTAGCCAATCTATTTGGTCTTTTGTAAAAGGTTGAATGATAATGTCTGGTTCTTTGCCAAAGTAACATTTTCCCTGTTTTCTACCCTGGATTATTAGGTCTGAGACAGCTTGGAAATAAGGCAAAAGTGTTCTTTTTGGAGAGACTGGTAAATGGACCCACATGAGGGGAGCTTGTTGTCAGAACACTGCTGTAGGGCAAAGCTTTGTATTAAAAATGAGAAACTGTAAAGGCTCATTGTAGTCCATAAAGGAAACAGTTTGTTGAGCAATAGCCTCTTTTACTTTACTGAGCGCTCTCCTGGCATCAGGTGTAAGCTCTCGGGGGGAAGTTGGATCTATGTCTCCCCGAAGCAGCGCATAAAGGGGCTGTAAATCATGTTTAGTTAGTTTTAAAAATGGTATGAGCCAATTAATATCTCCCAATAGTTTTTGGAAGTCATGAAGTGTAAAGGAATAGAGAATAAGCAATCTTTAAGATCTATGACAATTTTAAAAAATCCTAAAGGAATGGCACTGAGGGGAGGCCAGGCTGTAGAGGCCCCTTTAAGACCATTGTCTTATTTATTGCCCTAAGGTCTTGTAGCAGCCTCCACTTTCCTGACCTTTTCCGGATAACAAAGATAGGTGTGTTCTAAGGGGAATTACTAGGAACAATGTGTCCTGCATCTAACTGGTCCTGCATCAGCTGTTGTGCTGCTGCAAGCTTTTCAGAGTTAAGGTTGTTTTTAAAGGCTTATATGAATCCCCAATTGGCCATGGAGGCACACGGAGTGGCGGGCTGCCATCCTGGGACCTGCTGATCACGTCAACAGGTGGAAGTGGTGGCAGATCACCATGTATGAGGACCTCTAACAGGCCATCATTCTCTGCATCTGAGAAATCAGAGGCTTTAGATTTTTTTGAGGATGGTTTTGAGGTAGATTTAAGGAAGTCGCGCAAGGCAGCCTCACCTAGTGTAATTGTCTCCTCAACCTGAGGGTCTGCATGCCTCTGGGCAAGCAGCTCAGAAATTAAATTCTAATATGTAAAGGTGGTCACAGGAACCTTTTCTGGACCGAAAACTCTATAATAATCTTTTAAAACATCTCTTACTGTATTTTACCTCTTGGTATCTATAGAACCCTCTAGGGGGAACCAAGGGCAAACCTTATGAATAAACTGAAAATACTGTAATAATTCTTGTTTTTTAACCCTTATCTCTCTTGTCTTTAATGCCTTTATAAGGCCTCCAACGAACAGTTCATGTTCGCTCAATACTTGACCCATGTCGGGAAAGGGAAATGGGGTTGCCGTTCACTCACCGTGACTCGGGCAGGACGTCGGGTAGTCGTCTGCGCAGGTCTCGGCACTTGATTTAATGTCCTGTTGTTTTAAACTTTAATCCTTGATTTAGTTTACTCATTCCTCGGCCGAGGTCTCTGGTTTAATTTGCTTTCACTTTTGGTTTAAGCCGGCTGTCTCTCGAACGGCTCCCTCGTTAACTTCTCCGTGCCAGGGGCCCCCACGCTGAGCGCCACTTGATCCGGCCTGTAGATCAACAAGTTTGGAACTCCTGGAGGAGAAACGGGGATTAAACAAAAGACATGGGGGAGACAAAAAGAGACGAAGGCAAGTTGATGTTAACCCAATCAAGCCTCCGGTTTATTGAGAAAATAATCACACCTTTTATAGGCTAAGGGCGGGAGCTGGGACAGGAAGAGGTTAAACAGATGAATACAACAGGGTTACCATCACATCTAGACAAGTGACGTAAGCAGAAGAGGATTATGGTTAATATAGGCAGACGCAGTGCCCATAGGAGAGAGAGAGAGAGACATCTAGGCAACAATGCCTGTCACTCGGCTCCCTACACAATAGTATCAAACACAATGAAATAGTATAAAACCATCAAAGAGAATGGAATAATTACAGGACATTCAAAACCAAATAACAGAAAATGGAAAATTGTTATCATGCTATCTCATTATTCATAAAAGATTTGCTTATACTATCACACATAATAAAATCCAATAAGATAAAATATGATGTAACCAATGAAAACAGAAGAACAAAAGCATGGTAGCACTTCAAAGCAAGATGATATTAAATTAGCAGTGGCTATTATAATGTCTTGTTTTCTTAAAAGTAGCTGTTCATACCATCACAGATAATAAAATCAAACAACCCAGGATAAAACCATTCCAACTAATGAATGGGAACATTACAGGTCTCCAAAGCAATGTAATGGGGAATCATGATTACCATAAACTCTAATTTACTCTTACCGGTTCTTACACTTGGTTCTTACACTAGGGAGAGTATACAGTATTTATACATGTGAGTTTGATTGATTTCATGTATGAGTAAGGTCTCAAGTTGCAACCATTTATTTATAAATATCTCAATGTGATCATTCTTTATAGCTGAGTAGTACTCCATTGAATTAAAATACCACAGATTTTTATCCATTCCTTAGTTTGCAGACACTTAGGCTGTTTCCAAAATCCGGCTATTACAAATTGTGCTGCTATAAAAATGGGTGTACATATATCACTGAAGTATGATGCTTTCGGTTTTTCTGGGAATATGCCTAGAAGTGGAATAGCTGGGTCAAGTGGGACTTCCTATTCCAGCTTTTAGAGAAATCTCCATACAGAACTCCATAATGGTTTCACAAGTCTAAATTCCTATGAACAGTGCAGGAGAGTTCCATTTTCCCCTCAGCCTCTCCAACATTTGTTGTTGGTAGTTTTCTTGATCCTGGCCATTCTTTCTGGAGTGAGATGGAATCTCAGTGTGGTTTTAATTGCATTTCTCTAATGAATAATGATAATGAATATTTTTTCATATATTTATTTGCCATTTGTATTTGTTCATCTGAGAATTGTGTATTCATCTCAAATGCTATTTTTGGATTAGATCTTTGAATTATTGGGAGTCTGATTTTTTTAAATTCTTTATATGTTTTAGAAAGAAATCCTTTGTCTGAGGGATGGTTCTCTAAGAATTTTTTTCCCAGTTTGTGTTTTTTTTCCACTATGTTGGAGATTTCTTTTGACATGCACACACTTTTTAATAAGATGTGATCCCAGTTATTGATTCTGGGAAGTATTTACCATGTGGTTTGATTCTTTTTCATGAATTCTCTACCTACTCCTATGTCTTCAAGAATTTATCTTCCAACAGATTTAGTGTTTCTGTTATATTATTCATATCTGTGATCCACTTACATTTAGTTTAGTACATTTTGATAAGCATGGGTCTAGTTTTAGGTTTTGGCCTATGGTGAGCCAGTTTTTCAAGCACCATTCATTAAAGAGTGTGTGGTTCTTCCAGTGAACATGTTTGGCCCCTTTATCAAAGATAAGATGGTTGAGTTTGTTTGTAGTTGTGGTCATATCTTCTAATTTATTCCATTGATCTTCAGATCTGTTTTTATTCCAATAACATGTTGATTTTACCATGATTGCTTAGTAGTATAAGTTCAACTCAGGGATTGTAATGCCTCCTGCCTTTCCTTTGCTGCTTAGAATTGTCATTGCTATTCTAGTTCTCTTCTGGTTCCAGATTAATTTTAGGAGTGATTTCTCAGGATCTATGAGGTATGTTGATACTATGTTCATTGGGATCACAGTGAATCTGTATAACATTTTTGATAGAAAGGGTATTTTCACAATATTTAGTCTTCCTGTGCATGAACAAATGATGTCTTTCCATTTTCTGAGATTCTGTTTGATTTCTTTTTCAGGATATTATAATTTTCATTATATAGATTATTTTTTTACATCTTTCATGAGATTAATTCCAAAGTATTTCATTTGTGGGGGGTGTAGTGTGAAGGGTGTGGCTTCTCCTACTTCCCTCTCAATGATTTTGTTGTTAGGATATAGGAATGCTATTTATTTTTGAATATTGACTTTGTATCCAGCTACTTCCCTGAATTTCTTGTATCTAGTCTCCTAGATACTTCCAATGAAATTTTGAGGGTCTTCTATGTAGAGTATCATGTCATCTGCAAATAATAATAATTTAACTTCCTCTTTTCTTATCTTTACCCCTTTAATTTTTGTCTATTATCACATTGCTCTGGCTAGTTTTTCCAGTAGTATTTTGAATAGGATCAGTAATGAGGGGCATCCTTGTCTTGTACCTTATTTTAACATAAAGACCTTCAGCTTTTGGCCACTTAATATGATGCTGGCTGTTGGTTTGTCATAGATGACCTTTATCATATTGAGGTAAAGATTATCTATTCCAATTTTCTTTAAGGTTCTTTCAGGAATGGAAGTTGCGCCTTATGAAAAGCTTTTTCTGCATCTATAGAAATTCTCATGTGATTCTTACCTTTGTTTTTACTGATATGGTGGATTTCATTGATTGTTGTACATATGGTGAAACATCCCTGCATGCCTGGGATGAATCACCCTTGGTTGTGGTGTATCATCTTGATGATTTGCTGCATCCTGTTTGCCAATATTTTATTGAGGATTTTTGCATCTGTGTTCATTAAGGAGACTGGCCTGTAGTTCTCTTTTTTAGTTTGGTCTTCCTCAGATTTTGCAACTAGAATAATATTTGCTTCCATGAATGATTAAGGAAGGATTGCTTTCCTTTTGATTTCATTAAAGTGTTTGAGGAGTACTGACATTAAATTCCTTATTATTTCTTGTAGAATTCCACAGTGAATCCATCTGGGCCTGGGCTCTTCTTTGTATGTAAGGAGAATTATTATATTTTCAATTTCATTAATAGAGATTGAATTATTCAGTAGTTTTACATCTTCTTGATCGAACTTTTGTACTTCATATGTTTCTAGGAATCTGTCTATTTCTTCTGTGTTATTAAACCAATGAAAATAGACAATTTTAAAATAGGTGTTGATGATCTTCTGTATTTCCCAAGAGTCTGTTGTGATTTTGTCATTTGCATTCCTTATTTCATGAATTTGAGCCTTTTCTTCCCTTTTTTAAACAGGATAGGTAAAGTGCTTATCAATTTTATTTATTCTTTCACAGAACCAACTGTTTCATTTATTGATTCTTTGGATTGTGTTCTTAGTCTCTATTGCATTAATTTCTGCTCTGATATTTATATTTCCTCCCTTCTTTTGACTTTGGGCTTCACTTGCTCTTGTCTTTCTAGACATTTGAGGTGTACCATCAGGTTGTTTATTTGTATTCTTTCTGTTTTCCTGATGTGGGAAGTCAGTGCAATAAATTTTCCTCTGAGGACTGCTTTATTGCATCCCACACATACCAGTAAGTTGTATCTGTATTTTTGTTTGATTTGGGTATTATTTAATTTGTTCTTTAATTTCCCCTGTGACCCACGGATTGCTCAAGAGTGTGTTATTCAATTTCCCTGTGTTTGTGTGATTTTTGCAGTTTCTTTTATCATTAGTTACTAGATTTATGGCACTATGATATTATAACATGTATGAGATAAATTCAACTCTTTTGCATTTATTTAAAAAATATTCTGTGGGCTAGTATATGGTCTATTTTAGAGAATATCCCATGTAATGCTGAGAAAAATATGTATTCTGATGTTGTCGTGAGGAACACACTATATATATCCATCAGGTCCATTAGTTTAAATGTGTGATTTAGTTCTGTTATTTCTTTGCTGATTTATGTCTGGTTGATCTATCTCTTGGTGTTCATGGTGTGTTAAGTTCTCCTGTTTGAATTGTGTTGTTGCTTATTTGATTTTTCTTTTCTATATATACTTGCTTTGGATAACTTTGTGTTCTCGAATTTGGTGCATATAAATTTAAGATAGTTATGTCTTCCTTTTGAAGATTTCTTCTAACCAGTATGTAGTGACCTTCATTATGTCTTAGATTCATTCCTGGTTTGAAGTTCACATTGTCTGCAAACAAAATAGCCACCCTTGGCTTTTTTTTTTTTTTTTTTTTTTACTTCATGTTGCATGATATATTGTTTTCCATCCTTCAACTTTCAGTCTGTGAGTTTCATTTTTGGTTAGAAGGGTTTCTTGTAGACAGCATTTGATTGGCCATTGTTTCTTGATCCATTCTACCAGTCTGTTTCTTTTAATTGGTGAATTGAGCTCATTCACATTAATGTTTATAACTGTTATATATTAGTTTACTGTTGGCATGTTATCTTTCCATACTCGTCAAATGTCTGCCTTGCTTAGTAGTTTTATTCTATGAGTACCTAAACTGTCTTTCAGTATTGTTTGCAGGGTTGGCTTGATGGTCATAAATTTCTTTAGATGTTCTTTGTCATGAAAGTTAAACATGCAACAGCAGGAAATAACATGCCCATAGACTTGCAAATTATTTGTCATTATAAAAGACTGCACCTGAGAGTGCACACTTTATTGGCAATTCAGGTACTCAGAGGCCTTGTAGCACAGGCTACAAGGCTAGGTTCAGCTGACAGGAAGCACCATGCAGGTTCCTAACCCATATGCTTCTTGAGCATGCAACACAGAATGCAATGGCTTAATATCCATAGAGAATCTATCAACAGTCTTCAAAACCAAGCTATTGATATAGCTGGGCTTCTCCACATGAGAAAAGTGGCATGGAACATTAGCTAACTA